ATAAATGCTCCTAATACAGAGCATTTATTGCATCCTCCTCGAGAGGGGTACATTGTACCGTCGGCATCCCGATGACACAGCATTGATTGCTCGGGACCCCGAGCAGTTAAGAAGAGAAGACATTCCTTATCAGAATCAGTGCGCACACTACCTGTACCTAATGATCACCTACTGACTACACTGACAGCAATCATGAGCTTTTGAGGTATAAATACTCCTTGCAAAAGGCAAGACGGGTATGCAACAAAAAACTCTTTACTACAATACACACTCAGTGTTTTCTCTTTCCTCTCCTTTTCTCAAAGACATACTAGATCGTCGGAGGGGATACGCCGGAAAACACTCCGGCGCCCTTCTAACTTGCTCTTCTTTGTTCCAGGGACCTCTTTCAGCCTTACTGGATTGTTCTTCCGCTCCCCCAGGGTCTCCCGTTGCCGTTCCAGGTTACCACCGGACCTCGCAGGCTGTTTCGAGCAGCATGGTTGGTCACTCAACTGGCTCACTCGAGTTCACCAAGGGAGAGATCTGTTCTCATTTTTTATATTGTGCAGGATCTTGCACGCACAAAATCCACTAGTAGACCTGTGGTCATCAGGACAGCTTGCCCAATAGGCATCGGAGTACGCTGAAATTATGAAATTTTGTGAACAGGAAATGGGTAATTTCAAGTACAAAGTGTCTTTGAGATAATGTAGAATGTGTTTGATAGTAGCCCAATGAGCAATGGAGGGCTTGTGCATAAATTGACAGACTTTATTTACCAAAAAAGAGATGTCTGGGCGAGTTGTCGTGGCATACTGCAATGCACCGACAATGCTTCGGTAAAGAAGTGGGTCTTCAAAGGGAGCATTCTTTATTTTATGTAGTTGCACAGTAGAAGAGCATGGGTCTTGAATTGGTTTGGCGCCATCCATCTTGCTATAGCGAAGAAGGTTTACAAGGTATTGTCTTTGGGTAGGCGGTAAACCATTGGGCATGTGAAGTACTTCAATGCTGAGGAAGAAATTAAGACGACCTAAATCTTTGAGAGCAAATTACTCACTTAGGCGAGTAAGGAGAGATTGTAGAAGAGGAAAGGAGCTACCCATAATGATAAGGTCATCTAAATAAATAATAACATAAGTGATTGAGTCATCTGTGAATAAAATAAATAATGAGGGATTTGTGTGAGAAGCGACAAATCCATAGTGGATGAGAAAAGAGCTAAGCTGAGCCGAGCAAACCAAGCTCTTGGAGCTTGTTTGAGGCCATAAAAAGATTTGCAATGGCAACAAACATGAGAGGGATGATGCTTATCTACAAAACCTGTTGCTTGGCACATATAGACTTCCTCATTGCGAGTTGATTAGTACAAAATATTGCACATTATATATGCTTTTATACCTTTGTATACTTATTTTTGTGGTGAAAATGGGAAGACATGCAATTAATCAAACAATTAATGAAGTTGTTGAGTGTTTGTAGGTAAAATGTTAGTTATGGCTTGAGTTAAGCCCCCATCATCCTGCTCAAAGTCAATGGAGATTGGGATGGCTTAATGGGAGGCTTGGAAGGTGAAAAGATCAAGAAAAAGGCAATTCAGGTGAAAACCTTCCGGAAGGTTTGCACATTGGAAAGACAAAGACTTTGCCCCTGGCAAAATCTTCCGGAAGGTTTGCTTTTACTTTCCAGAAGGTTTTGCACACTGAAATTAGAACTACCTCAAACTTTTCAGAAGGTTTTGTCCACTGGAGTAGAACCTACCACAAACCTTCTGGAAGGTTTTTCATATTGGAAAGCATTTTCCTCTGCCTTTGCCAAAACCTTCCAGAAGGTTTTGCTGAAAATTGTCAGACACCTGCAACTCAATCTCTACCACTTGGGGGTCTCACCTATGATTTTTCAACTTGTCCCCCTGACATATTCTACAGACATACATGCCTCCCTACACCTAAGATTGGACTTTGGAGGCCAAGACATTTATGAAGAAGTGAGAGAAGGTAGAAGCCTTAGAAGTTGCAGGCTAGGCTTGTTCTAGCCTGTCCAAGCCATCAACCCAACTCCCCATTGATGAGAGGCCTGCACACACATGCTATAGGGCCTCATGGACAAAAATGAAAGGAGTTACACCATTGTAGAATATTATTCAACATTGTAGAGAGAGAGGCTCAAAAGGTCAGCATACCAAGGTAAAGAATATGTAATAAACAATTGTTCATCGGGAAAAGTGTTCATGATGGAGATTGATTCAACCACCAGATCGCTCACAATTCTCGATAAATGATCTGTCACCACATTCTCTACCCTTTTTTATCCTTAATAGTACGATCAAATTCTTGTAACAGTAACATTCATCTAAGCAAATGGGTTTTGACATCCTTCTTGGTCAATAGATACTTGAGAGCAGCATGATCTGTGAATACAATAATTGGTGAGTCAACAAGATAAGAATGAAATTTATCTAATGCAAAAACTGAGAGCAGCATGATCTGTGAATACAATAATTGATGAGTCAACAAGATAAGAGCGAAATTTATCTAATGCAAAAACAACTTCTAACAACTCTTTTCTTGAAGTAGAGTAATTCATTTGAGCATCATTCAATGTGAGGCTAGCATAACCACTTGGGGCTTCTTATCTTTCCTTTGGCCAAACACTGCCCCCACGGCATAATCACTAACATCACACATCAACTTAAATTGAAAAATCCAATCTGGTGGTTGCATAATTGGTGCAGAGGTGAGCAAGCCTTTCAATTTCTCAAATGCCTCTTAGCATTGCTCACTCCACTAAAAGCAACATCCTTTTCAAGCAAATTACACAAAGTCTGTGAAATGATTCTAAAATCCTTGATAAACCTTCTATAAAAATGGATATGTCCTAAAAAATTTTAAACATCCTTAATGGATTTGGGAATGGGAAAATTAGTGATCAAATCAATTATAGCTCGATCCACTTGGATGCCTTCGGATGAGATGATATACCCAAGAACAATGCCTTTTTGTATCATGAAATGTCACTTCTCCTAATTAAGCACAAGGTTTTTCTCTTCACACCTAATCAACACTTGCTCAAGATTAGTCAAACAATCATCAAAAGAATCCCCAAATATAGTAAAATCATCCATGAGCACATCAAGAATCACTCTACCATGTCAATAAAAATGCCTACCATGCATCGTTGAAAAGTCACGGGCGCATTGTATAGGCCAAAAGACATTCTTCTAGAAGCAAATGTGCCAAATGGACATGTGAAGGTAGTCTTCTCTTGATCCTCGAGAGCAATTTCTATTTGGTTGTTTTTAGAATAATCATCAAGAAAGCAATAATAAAGATGAGCTGTGAATCCTTCAATAATTTGATCCAAGAATGGAAGAGGAAAATGATCCTTTCTAGTGATGGTGTTAAGATTTTTATAGTCAATGCACATCCTCCACCTGGTGATGACTCTAGTGGGCACAAGTTCATTATTTTCATTAGAGACCATCGTCACACCAGAATTCTTAGCAACAACTTGAGTGGGACTTACCCACCCACCTCTTTTCTAGGCACCTCCTTCATATTTGAATTCAAACATCTTTGCCCAAGGATAATTTCATCACTCCATTTCAGTAATTAATCAAGGTATTAGATCTAGCAAGAAACATGCGAACTAAAATGATGGGAATTTGAGCATTTGTGTTCACAACGAGTTGAGTGTCTAGAATAATGAAATCAACTAAAAAATAGAAATTGTCAACTTGTATCATAATATCCTCCATCATTTGAAATCTTAACCGACCTATCCACCAATTAAAGTGTGGTAGTGGGGTATGAAGTGAGCTTAGTTACTAGTAGGGTATGTATAAAAAGGGTGAACTTAGTAATTTTATTATTTATAGTTTTTTTTAGGGGAGGGGGTTTGAACCCTTGACCTCAAAAAGACAAAGCCTTCATAAGGTAAGGAATATCATTGAACCAAAGGCCCATTAGTGTTATTTATAGTTTAATGGAGTGAGAACAAAGATTTGTGGAGTGAGAAAAGCCTCACACAAACTTTTTGATTGTTCAGCGTAATATTAGAGTTTAAGATCATGAGTTCGAATCTCACCATGCCTCCTCCCTACAAAAAATAAAAATAAAAATTATCATATGGATGAGACTACCCAAAAGGGGCTCACATGTGAGGGAGAGTATTAAATAAATGCTTAAGTTATACTATTTTTAACAATTTAAGCTTAGAGTTGATAGTGTTCCAAATAATCTACTAAGTATCCTATACCACATATATAAAACACTAAATTTCTCAATTTAAATATGAGTGCAATAATTGTAGTTGGAGTTAATATGAAAAATATATAGTTGAGGAGGCAATGTTGAGATAGATGACATAATTGATGGGGGTGAAAGTATCATTTTCTTTTTAATCTATACTACTTAAAAATGTCTAGAAGTATGAAAAATATTTTATTTCCCTTATTACCCTTGAGAAAATATATAAATACAATTCTACACATCCTTAATAATTTATAAATGTTATTTATAATATAATAACTCCCATCCTCCACTATCTCCACTAAACTGTTGATTAGAGCAACTAAAAGACAGAGCTAATAATTTTTTTTTTGAAACAGGAGAACCAATCCGAAACTTCCACTTAGAAGTGGAAGCGTCAGAAAGGCCTATATACACACACATACACCCAAAGTTATCCGATGTGGGATAGCCCAGCCCCTCTTTTTTTGAAACAGGAGAACCAATCCGAAACTTCCACTTAAAAGTGGAAGCATCAGAAAGGCCTATATACACACACACACGCACCCAAAACTATCTGATGTGGGATAGCCCCAAAGCTAATAATTCACTCGTTTATATTATTGTATCTATATTACTCTAAAATATCTGCTAAGTCTAAAAGATTTTGATATTTTCCCTTTCAGAATGTAATTAATTTCTCCTAAATCTAATTTCGTTAATTAGGCCAGTCTAACATTAACACCACTGCCTTAATCTCCCCACACTGTCGCCCCTTCAACTCTACCTTTGACATAAACAACTAACGCACACTGGCACCCCTTCGTCTCCCTATCTTTTGGTTGAAGCTATCCTCCATCTTTCCTCTTTCAGCTATATGGGTTTAACACATTAATGGTTGTCGCATCAATGGCTACTTCAGTTACAAATGGGATCTGAATAATTACAGCCCAGCAGTGTTGTTCTTCATCAGGTTTTGCACTTTTCTTCTGCTCCCTTCCTCTCCCAAACGCAGACACACCGTGGTTGTTCCCATTGCAAACCAGCGGTACTCTATTTCTTCATCAACAGGTACTCCATTCCTCTTTTCGGATAATATTTGTGTTCTTTTGGTTTTTTTTTGCTTGATGAGGGAAACGAAATTGGGATTCTTAAACCTTTGGTTATAAAATTGGCGTAAGGAGATCGGTGGGTTAGGATTGCAGGCATGTTTTCTTAAATCTGATTTCCAAAGGCACCCCTCATAAAATTCTACTAGCTTCGGCATGTGTTATTAGTTATGGATTGTGTCAAACTTAACGATTTTGTTGTGATTGTGTTGAATTTTTATTCTAATGGGAAAAGTGCTGATTTAGTGTTTGATAAAATTACTGTTTCTTATTTGGTGCTTATTTTGTTGGTTTTTAGTTTGTGATCGTTTTACAACTAAACATATCTTGCTACATGAAATGCAATCAACTTCTGATCAATTTTTGAGCCTTGCAGTGTTTAGTGCTGTACGGTTATAGGATGTATTTCAGCTAACTTTCTTTGCTCAATTTATTGATCATAGAGTAGTTCTTGAGTAAGGCTTAAAGGTGTTTTGTTCTGTATTAATTGATATCTTTTTCAATTCTTTTTAGTTCTGTAAAAGGTTTATTTAGTTGCCTTTGTAAACTGCCCTCCAGTCTATTTAACTTTTATCTTAGAAGCAATTTACAAATTTATCTTTGTTTATGGCCAATTTTCACCCTTTCCAATCATTTTATTCCTACATGCCATTATCAGGTTATTTTATTCTATTAGATATGGTTGCCATTTTTTTGGGTTGTTAATGAATTTGTTCATTGGAAGTTGCATCATTAGGTTGCCATTGACATCAATGATTTGGAATGTTTGTTCTTGGAAAAAATTAAAAGTACTTTATGATGCACTGTATTAGATGATTGGGTATTATTTTTCTATTGATTTTCCTAATTTATCTGTGATATCCATGGTGTCTTCTGTATTATGTTTCATGGTGTGATATGTAGTGAAGGGGTAAAATTAGAGAACAAAGGTGGATCCGAATGATAGCACCCACCATGGATCCGAATGTGTCCTATTATGTTCAGGTGGGTTTCTTACCATTACCTATGCATGGTTGGTGATGATATAACATTACAAGAAATTGAATAGGAGTACACTATAGCAATTATAGTGGAATGTACCACCGAGTGGGGTCATCCAGTGGGGTACCAGTTGAACTTTTCACCCCGAGGTTGGATGTTCAAGTCTTAGGGTCTACATTAGAGTTCGGTGGTTGATCGTTATATTAGCCTAATTAGGTTCCTTCCAGAGGGGAGTAACCAGCACAGTCAGGGGCCTCATGATTCCACTAGTGAGGATCTATCGGTGTGGATTTTGAGTGCTTTCTTTTGCCCGCACTTCTTTTGCCACCAATAAAAAAAAAATACAGTAGAATGTGTCTATAGCTTACTAGCACATACGTTTAAAATCTTGGTTTGATGTTCGGTTAGCTTAATTCTTTTAATGGATGTATTGGGTTTTTTTAATTTCTTAATTAATTAGCTATCATGATGCTTATAGTTTTAGACAATGAAAAAAAAATTATACTCAATACACACGCCTTTCGCATTCATTGCAAAGGGTTTATGTGACCAAAAAAAAAAAATTAGTCAGGCATTTAAGCGTGTGTTGTTCAAGCATTGCTAGCAATATTTTAAACTAACTTTATTTTTATATACTTACCTTTCATACACTTTGTTAAATTAAAATGGTTTTATTGTTCGGGTCACATATTTGAGTGACGAAAACTCCAAACTCACAGCTTAAAAGTATATTTTTTTATCCTTCGCATGTTAAAAGCCCCCAAATGGTGGATGTTTAACTCTTAACAAATTTTGCCACGTGAGAAAACAAGGGGTAGCCCCATCATGTGTCAGATTAGTTAGCTCCTTTTATGTGAAAGATCTATCCCTTGATCAAAGTTATTGCGCTTTAACAAAATGTCATTCATATCATTTGTATACAAACATTGTATAATTTCCTTTTGATCACCATAACTTCATAAGTGTTAGTTTCGATATTGATTGAGTGTTTTAATTCTTTTTGTAGACTTAAGTAGTTTTGTATCTACGTACATGTTGGAATGCATGAAGTCCTTGCCTGGATTGATGCCAAATTGTATGCGAAAGAAGTCAAAGAACGTGCTTGTTCTACTCCCCCTTATTTAATTTACAAACATATTTCACTGTTGCACGTTGAATTTCAAGATAGAATAACAATACTAAACAGTACATCATAAACTAGCTGCTCATGTTTCACACTTTCCCATTGAAGTTAGGGTAAATCACAAGAGTTCTCGATGAATTTTTCCTTTAATATTTTCTCATAAAAGAATTGAAAACCACATAATTTTTTTGGTATATTGATCAGTCATATTATTTTTTCCCTTCATGTTCTACTATGAAATGAGAAAGGTGTCAAACTCAAAAGTAATGACATACCAGATTCTATGTTTGGGGCTTCTACTAAACATTCAGCCCTCCATGTTTATTTTTTCCAGCAATGCTATGAGCAACGTGCTGGTGCCACTTTTTTATAAGTTGACATCAAAAGCTCATATACAACAAAATTAAAATACATAACTCATGTTATTGGAGTTTTTTGATATTTGTTGAAACTTATCTTTATTCAATAACTGTGGTAGGAGTTAAGGAAATATTCAACTACTACCGAGTTGTTATGTCATCGTTGCTACTAATGCAACACCATCTTTTGGGAATATATTTTGTTCTTCTCATTCTTGGTTTGCTTCTTTGTGGGCTGCAGCAGGTTCGTGTTTTGCAGGATTTTTTAGAGTTAAGACTTGGGATATGACTTTGATAATAATAGGTAATCAACAAATTTAACTGCTCATGTTTGATGTACGTTATTCGTGATTTAATCTCATACTTTTACTTAACTAAAATGAGTTCTTGAAGTCCGTACAAATATAGCGCCATTACATGCATGGAACAATGAAGATGATATGGTTGTTGGGTATCTCTTTGATGAACTTATTCATGAGAGGGTCAATGCAACCCATGAAAGCTATATGGTACCTTTTTTTTTTTTTTTTTGGGTTGTTAGTGATGGAAATTTTTTAATTTTGTTATCGAGTTTTTGACGTTATTATTATGTTTTGTGTATCCCTTTTTTATAGTTTGTTTCTGAAATGTATGTATATGTATAATGCGATCTATCACATAGTTATTATATTCTTTGTGTGACCTTTGTACCCTCTAATTCCTTTTGGCATGATTCTATTAAAGTCGGTCAATTCTAAGCCAATGTTGAAGCCATGATTTTATAGAAGTCAACTCAATCCTATAACAATGAATTTCACTTTTTTTTTTCTAGGCACTTATTAATGAATTATGCAATAAAAGTTTGGCAGGTCAAATTTCAAGTATATCCTTCTCTTTAAGCTATTTTTTTCAGTCCTGCAAGCATATCATTTTCTCTAATTTATTCTATCTATTTTTTATTTAACAAATTCTCAAGGTTATTTAAAGTTCATTGACAAGGAAACGACAAAACCATCCTTCCATCTTCTCCAAGCACTTGAATATGGTTCTCCTTTCGAGATGGGGCCTCTGGTTATGTTCAAGTTAGCTAAAGCTTCCGTAGTCCCCTAATGAGAAAGCTTAATTAATTATGGTTTCAACTAAGAGCTAATTGTTTGTGGTAAATTGATTGCATTGGTGTGTTTTAGTGAGTAATATGTGTAAAATACTAAAAGACTTTAATATGGGAAAAATAAATCCTTGCGCAGCTAAATGAGAGTTCTTGGCAATAAGAATTTTGCCTATTCATCATATGAAAGTATTTTTTAGATTCAAAGGGAAGCAAAAATTTTCAATGTTCATCATGTCAAAATTGGTTGGCCCACTAAGGCGAACCACATAACTCATTGTTATTTTTTTCTGCACCCTTCCACTTTAATTTTCTTGAAGAATTTAAAATCAGATTTTTTATACGCTTTGAAACTTAGTTTCTCTTTGATTTTCTATTTTTATACACTATTCTGGCAACCTTAGTTATTTTTTTTAATTATTTTAGTAATTTATTGTGATAATTTGGTTTGAAGTCAAGTGGACATTATGGTTCATTTTATTATGATAACTATTTAAACAATATCCCACAAGACTTTTCATGTTTGCTTTTTCTCTTTAACTTTGTATTCTTGCATTTTTTTAAAAAATATGTTATCTTTTATCTATTTTTGGTGGGAGCTGAAGAGACATTTTCTTAGAATTAGAAAGTTTTTTTTTTTGAATTAAATAGGCTATGATATTCAATTTATCAATTATTTCCCAAATATACAATTGTTCTTCTGTATTCTCTTCCAAAGTCTCATGTTCATAAATAACAAATAGTACAAAACCTACGTCTAAAAACTTTATTGAACAAATAAATATTGTAAAACATATCACAAAAAAAATTAAAAAAAAATTAAAAATCAAAATTATTCACGTACAACGCACGTGTTCATCAACTAAAATAAATTGTGGGGTGCAACTTGGAGTGAGTTCGACAAAAACTGATCCCCGAGATGTTATTAGCGGTCATAGTCATAGACACTGGTAAACCATTGTCCAATCAACTCTATTTTTTATTTTATTTTTTTGAACTGGATTGTCAAAGCAACTCAATCGTCTAAAAATTACTTTCTCCAAGTCATTTGGTTATGTATTCATATGGCATGGTGGCCTCAGTCGCTATTAATAATTTTTTAAAGAATTCGATCCCCTGAAAAGTTTTAATGTTTTTTTTCATATGTTGTGTTGAGATCGCCATGCATTTCTTGTAAATCAAATCCCAGATTTACGATTCCATTCTCTGTAAACTAAATTCACCACCACTCGGTCATTATCTACTTGGTACAAATGAAAGTTAAATAAATTAAATAATCTTGTTATTTTACAATGGTTTATGTAATACTAAAATAAAAAAAATACAAAAAAATAAAATAATCCAGATTTACAATTTACATCGCTACCGTTTATACTTGAAAGTCTCGGCAATTACATCGCTACCGTTTATACTTGAAAGTCTCGGCAATTACATCACTATGTGTTTATGCCCGACAGTCTCGACAACCAATAATATCATAAAACACATAAACACCATAATAAAAACTTAAGCACTTAACCATCACCAATTCACAAATCATACCCCACTAGGTCACAATGTAGCTATTTACATATGAATATAACTATTAAACATTCAGCCATACTTTCAATTAATATGAATCAATACTCTCACCTTTAATTCGACTTTATCTCAAGATTAGTCCCTAGATGAGACTTAAAGTGGAATCGATGTTAATGTCATCGTCTCCATTACTACCACATAACTAGATGATCAAATCTAAATTGAATAGGAAACATATTGGAAGAGTTTTAATATAGCATAAATAGGTAAATTAGACATGTGATAAAAAACATAAAGATCAAGTTCTATATGAATAGATTTGGGTTACAGTATTTTATCCCTATAAATAGAGTTGAGTATTATGTAATCAATTACTAGATGATTAATTTTTCAATGAATAATACATCAAGGTAGGTTTTTCATCCGTGGATGTAGGTACGGTATACCAAGGTGGGTATACTATATTAAACCACATTATATCTTTGTGTTTTATTTTATTGTTTTCCTATCTTTGAATTTTTATCTTCTAACTTTTGTTATTAGTGTTGATTATCCGCAGTGCAAAACCAACAAATAATATCAGAGCTAGATTGATGATTCTAGTGTATCAATCAAAGCAAGTTATTGGCAATCCAACAATCAAGTTGGTGTTCATGTTGAAGAAGACTCCCTTGCCACGTTTGTACGACATGGTATGAAGATTGATTCCGTCCTACGTATGTTAAGGCATAATCTTGAAAAATTAGTTGATTCATATTTTTGTTTGAATCCACAAGAAAAATTTTAAAGTTGGTATGAAACTAAATAGAAGACTAAGTTGTTTCCTGATTGTTTGGATTTCAAGAATTACTACACAAGCTATGTTGAAGATGTTTCTTTGGGATTTTGGGCCCTTAGAGTTGAAGTCACAATATTCTAATGGTTTGAGAGCTATTGGGCTGACATAAACCCAATAGTGATGATGTAGTGTCTCGTGAGTTACGAGTCATTGGGCCATTCAAATAACCCAAGGACAGGTAAGATGCGGGCAGAGATGCATAGATGATGCAGGCTAAGACTTAGGTTCTTCAAAGATAGAGAGAATTGTGACGACTTAAAAGAACAGGTTTGTACAAGGTGCTTGAAAAAATTGGGGATCAAAGTCAAGGGTACTAAGCCCGATATTGGGCATGACCAAATTGGGAGAGCTTAGTTTAAGGGAGCCTATTGGAATTTGACCCAAACTCTCTAATTATCACGAATGTGAGTTTATTTGGTAATCAATGTGAGAATTCTAAGTGGAATTAGAAATGTATTGGAACCGTTTTAATATACCATGAATATGTATAGTAGACATGCGATAAAAAATATAAAAATCAAGTTCTATCTGAATAGATTTGGGTTACAGTACTTTATCCCTATAACTAGGGTTGAGTATTGTGTAATCAATTATCAAATAATCAATTTTTCAATAAATAATACATTGATGAAGGTTTATGTATGTATGATGTACCAAAGTGGATATACTGTATCGAACCACGTTATATATTTGTGTTTTATTTTAGTATTTTTCTATCTTTTGAATTTCTATCTTCCAACTTATGTTATTGGTGTTACTTATCCGCTATGCAAAAAGCAACACATTATATCACAAACACATGAATATTCACCATATAAACATTATACCTCAAATGTACATTATGAATGTTTAAATTACCACATCCCTAAAACCCTCCCCAAATGAGGTAAGATAAACTTAGACCTCAATTAACCATTCTCTGTTTCACATAAAATAGGTTTGAATTTAAATCATAATCATGTATTCGTAAACATACAGACCTTAAAGGAGTTGTTTTGAACTCAACTGGATGTCCCGGGAGGTTTTGAGAATAGCCAGACAAAGGCCAGAAACATCACAACAAAAACAAGAACTTTTAACAGGGTTGTATTGGTACAAGTTGTACCGGTTCTTAGTTAGTGGTCTGTTGTACCGGTTCATCCCAAGGGAGTAGGCCTTTGTACGGGGTACAACACATTTTCTATCGGTGCTTTCCTCCGCCGAATGCTTTTTATGCATTTCCAACACCAAAATTAAAGGAAAAATATTACCTTCAAAGTGATCAATCTTCCCCTAATTCGCCAAAACCCCCCTTGCACGACTGAAGGTTTGGTTGTGTTGGATATTTGATTAATGAATCCAAAGCTTTGTTATGAACTGGTTGTATCTTACGTCTACAGGACATGACTGGTAGGTACTTCATCGAATACTCGAGAGGTCGTATGGAGTGGTACTTCATCGAATATTGGAGTAGTTACGAAAGCTTTGTTATTATGGTGATACTATTTGCACATATAAATTTAAAATAATTTGTTGATCTAATGTAACTTTATTATAATCGTTGAATTAACACCAAATTTCATTGTTTGATAAGATTCACAGTCAATTTAATGATTATAGTGAATTAAATCAGTAAATTAATTCAATAAATTAGATCTCAATAACATTAGGTAGTTGTAAGCTTTGTTATGAAGTGGTTGTATTTTTCTGGAAGAAGATTATGGTACCGTACCTCCAAATTTTACAGTTTTAAT